TTTCCCTATTGAGAAAGGAAAACGATGGAAGAGTCTCTCTCTCCCCCTCCCTCCTTCCCCCCTCTCTCAAATATTTTATTATCTTAGAACTGTGTACTATAACTACGTTTTAGATCTAGATAAATGAAATTCATCTGCATCTAAATCTAGCGGTATACGTTTCTTAGATTTGCGTTTCTTTTTTAATGTGAATATTATTATTATAATTATTATTATTATTATTACTATAAACGTAGTAAATCCACCTGTTGCCGTTGGGATAATAAAGTGTTTTAATTGAAAGAATAGGATTTTATTTTCATTTGTTTTATTTAGTTTTACTTCTAAATTTTTTCCTAATTCCTAGGGATCTTGGATAATCCTTTTATTTTTATTTGTTTCTCTGTGTTCGTTTTACTTTGTGAAGTTTGTAATAATAAAATATTGTATTCTGGCAAATATGCATCTATGTTCACTTCATGCAATATTTTCTTATATTTTATTAATGCGTTTGGTATTACCAGTTTGCAATTGTTTTCTAGCTTTTGCCTGTTTCAATCGTTTTCTTTAATTCTTCGTAGTCTTTACATTAAATCATAATTTATTTATTTCATTGATGCTGAATATAACCAAGAGTATGAATTACTATCCATATAGTGCGATTTGGCATTGTGTATTTTATGTTACAATCTTTATACTTATTTCTAAATATATTTCAATTTCGCAGATAGAGTCGTTATTTATGCAGTGTATTAGCAAACTGTGAGAATACAAGTATTTTGTGTTAATTATTATTTTTATAATTCGGTCCGCGAAAGTATTACATAGATGTCTTTTTAAGTTTACAACTATTAATAAGTTAGATAATTATGTATTATAGTTTAAGGAAGCCCCCCAATGACTTCGATCTTGTTATCATATGTTGTCAAGGTCATGACCCTGAGTGATCTTGATAGAGTTTTAATCGTCGGACATTACTCGTTATAAAGTTATAAACAAAAGAAGTTTAAGAAATAACGTCTCCTTTCTACTATATGAAACGGAAATTTTCTGCTTTAAAATATATTTTACGACTTTACACGCGAATCGACTCCCCCCCCCTGCCCCCTGCTTGAGGACGCAAGACTTCCACGCGAAGCGATTCCAAGCAGGGGGGAGATAGGGTGGGAATCGCTTTGCGTGGAAATCGCGCACTCCCAAGCAGGGAGGGGAGATGGGGTGAGAGTCACTTCCCGTGGAAGTCGTGCGCCCCTAGAGATCCTAAAAATAGAGAGTCGGCCAACGCCGACTCGATCCGTAATTGGCTTTGCCATAACGTGTGAAACCGGATGTGAGAGTGAGAGAAGCGAATATGAGAGTAAAAGAAGCGACACCAGCTTGCTGTCAAGAATAGTTGCTTTCCATTTGCACACAAGTGAAACTGAGCCTGAAGTGAGCTGAGTATTTCATACTCGAATTAATGACGTCATTATTTGCTTACTTTGGTAAAAAGTTATCAGAACACAGGTTGTTCAAAGGTTTATATTGTTCATAACCTCACTTTTAAAGTAAGTTTACGAGACTCATTAAAGCACACGGTCTCGATCTTGTGCAGATTGTAGGCAAAAACTCAGTTAAATCTCACTTGTCAGAATGCAAAAGGAACGCGCATTCAACTGAGTTATGACGTCACAAGCGAGAATTATCTGAGGATCGGTGTAAATGGAAAGCAACTAATGTAAAGATTCTGGCGTTGATATATTGGCGCGCATTTCCAAAGAGCACGTGATTTCCGGTTTCACAACCTCATGCCGAGCGTTAGCCGATCTCTACTTTTAGGATCTCTATGCATCCCCAAACAGGGGAGGAGGTGGGGATACATTTTAAAGCAGAAAATTTCTGTTTCATATAGTAGAAAGGACACGTTATTTCTTTAACTTCTTTTATTTATAACTTTTTAACGAGTAACGTCCGACGATTAAAACTTTCTCAAGGTCATGACTTTGACAACATATGTTGTCATTGGGGGGGGGGGGGGTCTTCCCTAAACTACATAATTACCTTCAGTTATTTACGTCCATTGACATTAATACCTTTTCATGATCTAGGACGGGTAATAGGATTACATTTAATATTTTATATTTTAGGAGTAAAAAAATTAAAGGAAATTTTAAAATGATGAATATATTTTTTCTGTTACAACAGGCGCAAATAATAATTATTTTTTCCATTTTCAGCCTCGTTTTCTCTTATTTTAAACAAAAAGTAGAGTCTTTCTGGCAATTATAAATTTACTTTAAGATTTTCTATCATAGTATCGACGGGTGTTAATCCAGGATTTAATATTTCCTCTTTTATCGCAACTAAATAGGGTATCATCCGCGTCGCGTATTAATATCTACTACGCACTGGACACGATGAACAATGAACGATGAGCGATATCCAATAAAAGCTCTGCTTTACATCACGTGCGAAAAAGCAGAGCTTTCATTGGATATCGCTCATCCATCATGTCCAGTGTGAAATAAGCATAATTCGAATAATGTCGCGATAATTACATCAAATGTTCCTGTATACTCATATGCCGTATGTTTGCTATTAATTGTTCTCTCAATTTTTTCATTGCGTTTGCTATAAGTATTTTGTTTTTTGCACATATCCTTGTAATTGTATTAATCTTGTCGATCAACGAGGTAATGTTTATTTCAATTATTAATTTCCAAGTTGATTCCACTTGATGCAAGTTTTCTATTTTTCAAAGTATATCCCTGGATGATGGACGAAGCGTTGTATTTCATACGATGTTTATATGCTTGGATCCTCTAATAGTCTTTGCGTTATTCCTACCGTAATTTTGTAACGCAATAGCAGCGTTAATTATTCTTTGTTATTTTAAATTGTCCTCTCATTTTATTTCTTTGTTCTGCCCATTTATTCGTCTATACGCGATCGGCTAATTTTAAACAATAAAAATCTTACAGCTAATTTTATTTTTAGATGCTATCATATTATATTTCGTTAGAGGTGCTCGCTGGGTCATAATCTTTCTCGACCGTTACCTTTTCCCATGAGAGCTCGTTGGATTCGTTATATGCACTCTCGTCAATTGCGTTTTTCTCGCCGTGTGGTAGTTTAATGTATGAAAATGTTTCGAGGTTTCACTTCCGCCTCATAAGGCTTTTCTGACTTGTTCCGAAGCAGAAGAGCCTAATCACAAGTTTGCGGATGATCTTATTGTAGCTGAACCTCCACCCTCAGGTACCTTGCGCGAGGCCGCTTCCTCGTTTAGAGGCATTTACGGACAATATTCTTTGGAAAATTTTATAAGGACAATAGAGGGAGACTTCGCTCCGAGATTCATACCATTCGCGTATCCGTGATCAGGCATTGTCATGACCGGGATGGAGACCGCGGCGATAATCCTCTGCCTGTAGAACGGTTTCATTCCGAGGACCTTGAGTAACTATTGTTTTTCGTTTTTGTATGTACGTGTGTGCGTGTGTATGTGTACTGTTTCTTTTTAATTAAGTACTATTGGTAAGTGCTAATAATTGATTACATTGTGCGGGAACCCTTCTTTTTTTCTTCCTACCTCCATAGAATGTAAATTCTACTTTTATTGGTGAGTTTTTATTTATGACTTTTTAGTATTTCAACATTTAGTTTCATACGATTTAGTACATGCGTCAGAAACTTTTCCTGCCCTATTTTAGTTATACAGGATCCGCCAAAAGTCCCGGGCCAGCTGAATATTTCAGAAAATATGCATTTTTGAGAAAAATGTTTCAGACAAAAGTTGTAAGGTTTAAAAAGATCTATTCACTGATCACATCCGCTTGACTTTGGGTGGCGCCATCAAGGTCAGGTCAAGGTCAAATTAATTTTTTAAAATGGAATACCCTATTTTTGATGTTAGAATTTAATAGCTGGTGTCAAGAGCTTTCTAAAACACTATAATAAAGTTATTTTTCATTAAGTACTTTTCGAATTATAAGGCTTGAAAGTTACAGTCGGTATTAGCATTACGCAAGGTGTCCGATCAATGGCTAAAACCTCTTGAATGCTGTTCAGGATCATGTCCTGGATAACATTTATCAAGATCAGAGTCATTGGAGATTGTACCTCTTATTTTCATTTTTACGTAAAAATGAATTATTAGTGCAAAAATGAAAATAACAGGTATATTTTATTATAGTGTTTTGAAAAGCTCTCGAGGTAAGCTATAAGAAAATGTAATGAAGAATAGGGAGTTCCATTTAAAAAAATCGACGCGACCTTGACCTGGCCTTGACCATCCAAGGTCAAGGGGATGTGATCAGTGAATAGATCTTTTTAAACCCTACAATTTTGGTCTGAAACATTTTTCTCAAAAATGCTTTGCTTTCGAGATATTCGAAAGTTTCCAAACTTTTGACACACCCTGTATATATAATACCTAAAGACAATGTATTCTAGTGATTTTACTTGCGGTAATTCAATTATAATAAATCTTTCATTCTCTTTAACATATATTACGCAGTCAATTTTTGTTAACATTTTCACATGATCAAGTATTTTGCAATTTTTGATATTTATTAAACTGATTTATCAGATATATACAGTATGTAACCAAAATAAACATAAATATTCGAATAGTTTTCTAAAACCTGTATATTCAAAAATTGGTTTTGTCTATTAACATAATTATACCGGATTCATTAAAAGACGGTACTTACAGGAATTACAAAAGTAAACACCTTGAGTTCTTATTTTACATTCTGTTTCTGAGATGTATTTTTATATTATATAAATATGTATGTATATAACCTATTATAAATTCATACACGGAAAGAAATTTCTCTTAAAATTTACCCTGGAAATATGGTAAATTTTAAAAATCTAGCAATTTTTTGATATGTATTTCCGACATTTTTCTTCTTAATAACTATTCTTTTCTTCTTATTAGTTAAATGCTTCTATTCTGCAATTTTTTCGTGTTAATCTTAAAAAAAAAGAATACCAACAAATATATTTAAAAATATATTTTAGTTATATAACAATATAACTTTAATATATCAAAATAATTGCTAGACTCTATGGGAAGAGAATTTTTTCTTACAGTTTACCTTGAAAATATGGTAGTCATGGAACAACATTGTATTTCGCAGAATTTTATGTAAATCTCTCATTCGTTAATAAAATAACAGTAAAATAAAATTACAATAAGATATTTTATAAGTTTGGTTAATTTTACTGAAGTGCATGGTAAAAGTCTGTAAAATAATATATTGTACCATAACCTAGTTATGGTTAGTCTAGCAATTATTTCGATATATTAAGGTTATATTATTATATTGCTAAAATATATTTTTTAATATTTATTGGCACTCGTTTTTTAAGATTAACACGAAAAAATTGCAGAATAGAAGCATTTAAATTGCTAGATTTTTCAATAAAATGTCGGTAGCCATTTTTAAGATATTGTTGATTGTAAGAATACGAGTTTCAGTTGCATCCGAGTTTGTCTGATGCGTGTGATGGCGAATGGTTTATGTAGATGATGCATTCTTAATCACTTAATAATTTTGAACATATTTTGGGCGCAGATAAAAAAAAGTGATGACGAGATATTCACTATTCTCATATCTAGTCAAACATTATGTAGCTTTCGAACATCCCGATTTTGGCCGAGAGACTAATCTATCATATTCTTATAAGCAGCAACTATCTTATAGCGTTTTCCCCTGTAAAAACTAGTGCAACACTGATGCAATTGAATACAAATCGGTTTACATATTTTGAATAATAAATAATTTAATCTTTTTAACATTATGAAATTATCGTGACAACAATGAATATGAATGTTTTCCAGCTAGGACACAGAACATTGTGTTCCACTGTGTAAGATACTTGTTGGAACATAGTTTAGTTTCATAGTGTAATCAGAAGTGTATCAGAATGCATTGTAGTCTTCCATTTTTATTCTTATGATTATATTTAACATATCAATAATAGATTTATGATTTTTATTTAGACTTAAGTTATATTTTTTTCAAAATTGGTGATTTTTGGCGGTTTTATTGCAAAATAAGTATGTCTACCAAATAACTTTTTGAATAGTTGATAACATTGACATATTTTACGCGCTCGTACTCAGTTTTTTATAGTGTCAAAAAGTGTAATACTATATCACAGTTGGAACACTTTGTGTAAGACAGTGTTACACTGTGTCATCTGTGTTGTTGGAAAACACCCTATGTATAATTAAAAGAGTTCAATTATTTATATAAAAATATGTAAATTGATTTGAATTAAAGCGCACCAGTGTTACACTAGTTTTCCCAATGAAAAACGCTACTAAAAATAGCTGTCAGTATTTTACTAAAAAATTTAGCTGTTTCTCGATATGTTTCCTTTATTTTTAATTTTGATAACTATATTTTTCTCTCCATTAATTAAATGCTTCTTTTATTAGCCATTATTTCGTTAATAATCTTAAAAAAAGCCAAACGCAAATGCCAAACAAACATGAATAAATTAAAAATATATTTTAATGATATAAAATAATAAAATAAATTAAGAGAAAAGGCTCCGATGAATAAAATTAATAATATAATAATACATCGAGAAATAATTGCTAGACTATGGATTATAATATAATCTAGATAGTATAAAAATACTCTCAAAAACACAGAATGTAAAACAAAAAACTCAAGATGTTTACTTAAGGATGTATTACACGTACAGTCCCTTCAAAGAAAATTAAATTTGGAAGTATGTTTAATATTTACACTCTTCAAATAAACTATACACATATGAAAGTTGTGTGAATAAAATTATATTTTTGTTTAATAACACATTTTTGTAATTTATTTATTTTATTTGTTATTATTTTCATTGTTAAAAATGAAATTTTTTTTAAATGATAAAAAAATTTACATCTTTCTTTTATAAGTACCTTAAATATTCAAAATAATTTATATAAAGTTTTATTATGATTCACTGATTAGTTACAAAGATATAGAACAAATAAATATTTTGTTTATTTACTGGACAACTAGTTCATGCATCGCAATGTAACTCTACATAAATAATCTTGAATAACATAATGTACTTATATTGAGATTTTTATGATTTATTTTATAATACATTTTCATATATTTTTATTAAAACACAGATTTAAAAAATACGACTATTTATTAAAATAATTTATAATCCAGATAGTAAACCAAATTTGTCGTATTATTTTTAAACGTGATTTAGAATAATCTATAATTTTTTCTATCATAATTTTATCGTTTTGAAAATATGTATAAAACATCCTTAAACCTATGGGACACACAAAAACGTAAGGCAATAAGACGTAAGCAGTAAATTGGCCAATACAGTAGAGACCGTAAAACCCGTAGCGAATCCAATGTTATCCAATGTTATGATTTCCTTACTACTTACATCTTACTGCCTTACATTTTTGTGCCATGAGCTTTACTCTTATAACTATAAGTACCATAATCTGATGAACCCGATATAACGATATTAATGAGCAAAACAAATTCTTGAATGATACGTGAAAAACAATGAAGGTTATTGTCCTAATATTACCTGTTACCATTACCAGGATACCTAACTTCAGGGGTTTTTTAAAAATCTGTTCCAACATTAAAAACATATTAGCAAAAACAAAAGACTCTTAAGGGGATCCTAAAGCTTGAATTCCGATGAAATCATCAGAGGTCGCTATTTTTCCAGTGCATCGACATGTCTTTATATACTACCACCATATCTCACGCAATCTATAATACATGCAGTCGCACGTTCGTGTCAATTTTCGTATAATAAATTCGTCGCGATAAAAAACGTCTATATCTAATTCTAAAAATTCGACGTTATTTGTTCGTGCAAACTACATGTTTGTGGATTACTATTTCGTAAGTACAGATTGCAAAACTTTCGTATCAAGCAAATGTTGTCACGACTTGACAGCTTAAGACGCCATGTTACACTAAGAAATGGTAAAAAAATATATAAATTTCGAAATTTTTGGTCATTCTCTCTCTCTCTTTCTCTCGGCATAAACTCCACCTCAAACACATATTAATGCGTATACTTTAATCCTGGAAAAGGATTTTCGAATCTGTGAAAGAGAAAAAAGTATTTGTTATACAAAAATGATATGTTTAATCGGTAATACAAACGGCTTTAGGATCCCCTTAATATCAAATAATAATATAAAGAAAATAAAGGACATATAAAGTCAGTTATAAAATTCTTAACACATGAGAAAATTTTCTCATGTATTATTTAAAAACATTTATGTTTACTTACTTTTGTTATATACTGTATGTCCATTAATATTCAATGTTCACGGATCATCACGAAGCATCAGTTCCCGTACGATCACAAAGATCAAACAACGTTAATCAGGGCACAGCCTGAGATGGGTGACTGCTTAGAAACGTAAAATTATAATTTCCAAAGATTTTTTTAATTTTATCCTAATTTCTCTTTCTCTGGAATGTGATACTAATCAATAAATTTTATTTTATAGCAATTTATTTAAAAATTGAAAATTGGTATACAGGGTGTTATCGTATAAGTGGCTACCCCCTTTTTATCTCATAAACTAACAGAAATAAACCTAATAAATATGGATTCAAATTAAACTGTAGCTAAATTTTATTGTAAGCACAGTGATTATTGAAAAAAATTAATTATATTAGAGAACGGAGGGATATGCACAATTTTTGCATAATAAATTAAATATTTTGGTATAATAAAAGTTGTAACGCGTCCGTTCTAACGACTACAACGTTGTATGATATAACAAAATTATTTTACAATTTATGCAAGTTATTTCGGTTTAAAGTTTGGCGGACGACTATTATCTTTTCAGTTTCGGCCCTGCAGTGTGGCCAACTTCCGACTCTTGCATTGATGATTGACATGTAACATATTTGATTAGATGAAAATATGTTAAATGTCAATCATCAATGCGATTAATCAACCCTGCTAAAGCTTACTATTGTTTTCCCATTTTGAATCTCAAAAATTCTG